GGGAATTGCCCTAACTTTGAGGATATTTCCTCTCATTTCTTGTTGCGTGCTCATGACAAGAAGTGAGAATAAATTTCAGTGGGATGCAAAAAGCAAAAATACCGTAATGGGTTTTAACCCTTCCCTATTCTCTAAAATAAACGTTTTGGCTATACAAACACCTAAACATATTGCCATGCTTACACAAACTCCAATCCTGAATTTAGCAACCATGTCCATATTCTCAGGTTCATTAAAAGCTATGGATGATTTTTCATGCAAGTTTCCATCCATATAGGTGTTGATTCCCTTGCAAATTGCAAATTCCCTTGCAAAGTGTTTGCCTGTTTGCCTTTCAGTAAATCAATCCCATACAGTCACACTAGAAGAGAGGATTGGCTAGATCTAGCACTAAATGTCTCCAAATTAGAAATCTGAAATCATGTGAGACGTGTTTACTTATTGCTTGAAGCTAGTTAAAGATCTAAGAATGCAGTCACATATCCAGAAATAACTCAACTTCTCAGAGGCTCATCTGTCAGCTAGATGTCCTATAAACATTTATATCCAGTTTGCATGAGCATACATTTGTATATAAATGGAGCAGGGAGGATGGAGGGTGCACAAATACCTATAGGCACATAGGCAGGGCAACAAAAGTGATTGAAACAAGGTTTCCCTAATCTATATAAAAGCATGAAAAATACCAACATATAAAAGAGCTATCTTTTTGCAGCTTTGGATATAACCAGCAATACATGTCTGAGTTTATGTGTTTGAGCTATATAAGCCCTTTCTTATAATAGCTTGACTTATTTAAAAATTTCCACATGTAAAATAGAGCTACAGCAGCCTTGACTTCTCCACCCCAACTTCTGTATCACAGTAAAGCATCAAACCTACAGCTAATAAGTGTGCAGCTGTATTTCACCAATGGTAACAAAAGATAAAACACTGCAAGCTTCATTATATCATAGAGAAGAGAAATTTGGACATGTTTGGTCTAGTTGGATGCGATTTACCTTTCCCTCTGGAATATAGGACTTTTTTGTCAAAAGTAGAGATTAATTCAGTGGTGTATGCAGGTGTCTAAATGAAATACTTTGGAGTGGAAACCAAACAGTTGGGTATCTTTGTAGTGTTTATGATATGGATAAAATTGTCATTTTTTATCTTATTGTTTTATAATTTATTGGCTTTGAAAAGTAAAGAATTAAAAAGAAAACACTGCAAGCCAAAAGAATACAGACAGGAACAGCACAATAGCACAGTATTCCAAGGTATCAACTTAATACAGAACTACAATTTATGAGATATAAGAATAAATCATAGCACAAATGTCAGACCTAGTGCTGGTCTAAATGACAAAAGCAACGCAAAGTATATCTTGCTCTATTGTTTTTCTTATCTCCTAAGATTGGTCCGATGGGGGTGTTTGCTGCTGTCACAGATGTAAGATTGGTTCCTGATCTGTCCAAAATTGGGCAACTGTCATCTCTAGAAAGGCACATGGATTGATAGTGCCATTGCTTTTATGAAGAATATTTGGAGTGTTATAAGGGCTCTATACTGATTTTGATGTGGGGCTCCATTTACATCACTAATGGTTGAAAACTATCTATCTATCTATCTATCTATCTATCTATCTATCTATCTATCTATCTATCTATCTTTCTATCTATCGCCATACAAAAGACAAAGGCCTTTTTTTTCATTTTTCCCATTTTAGGCCTAATAATTACTTAAAACCCCCAAACATTATATATTTTCTGAAAAGCCAAGACCCTATAGAATAAAATGGTGGCAGTTGGAAATTTGTATGTTGCACGACATTGGTGCAACTTATTATCAAACACAAAAATTTAGTGAAAAATGCATGTAAGTTAAATTTAGTGCCCCAAAACACTCTAAAAAACAATTTTTAAAAAAATATAAAAGATGAGGTTACATCGAGTAAATAGACACCCAGCGTGCGACAACGCACATGCTTTCGGGGGGGGGGGGGGGTATTTTTTTCATTTTTTTTTTTAATATTTATT